CTCTGGGATTATTGCAGGTGCCCTAGGCCCTCACCCCTTCAGCCTGGCCTGGGGGTGCCCTTACAATGATTGTGCATAGAATACAGGCCAGGATTGCTGGGGAGAAGGCAGCCCCTCCTTGCAGTGAGAAGGAAAGGGTGGAGGTGGCCAGGCAGGAGAGGACCATCCCTCCCTCCCTGGGGAGTTTTCTGCTTCCAGGAACCAGGCCTTCCCAGACGGAGCCTTCCTCTCCCACTTCCACAATTTCTTGCTCTCCCTCCCCTTGCCTCTACCTGAAGCATCCAAGAACCTGGGAATGCCCTAGCTCCTCCCCAAACAGAATGGCACATACCTTTCCTTTTCCCTCCAGCCCCAGGGTCCCAGAAGCCCCTCTGGTTGGGAAGGGGGTATTCAGGCCCCATCCCCACTGCTGCCCACATGGCTTGGCACTCAGTCCCTTTCATTGAGAAATCACAAAGCACATTAGTAGGGAAATGGATAGCTCCTCTCCCTGCAGGCCCGATCTCCAGCTTTACCTGGGAGGGAGACAGGTGTCAAAGGGTGGCAGGGGCCAGCACTGGATGGGGCAGTTGGGTTCTGGCTTTCAGTCCTCATCCTGAACCTGGACAGTCCTCCCACCCAATGCAGGTTCTTCCTAACCAGGGGCCCCCACACTAGAGAAGATCCCAAACTAACTTCCTCAGGCACTGGAGGGGTCTCTAGTCCTTAGCAGATGGTGGTTCCTAACTCAGGGGCCCTGGGATGCCCTGACCTCCCTCCCCTCATCAGTGGGGCCAACTCTTAGGTGGCAGGTGGTGAAAGTTGAGATTGGACTAGAAAAGTCTCAGAGGAAGCCGGGGCCTCTGTCCTTCACTTCCCCAGAGGGGTATCCAGGAGCTGTAGGGCTCCCCAGAATGTTCTCATTTTGAACCAGAGATTTCAAACCGGTGACCCAGGGCCCAAACATGAGTGTTGAGTTTGGCCAGCACAGGATTTTTCAAATATTTGAATTTTCGTACCTATGGGCGGGGTATGTGCTCTCCTGTTGGCCAGAGTCCTCACCACTCCCTATGGTCTAGCACCACCACGTTATCATTTTCATTACCATGAATTTGCAACCCATGGACCCTCCTCCCTAAAACCTTCTCCCACTGCCTGAGGCTTCTCCCCACTCCAAGCCCAGGTGAGCTCCACGGAAAGGACCTTCAGAACTTTGGTTCTTGGGAGGCCACAGGGGCTGCCAGGCAAGATCTTCCTTGGATGCTCTCAGTCCCCTTGAAATTCGCCCCGAGACCCAGACCTTCCCCAGCCTTGCCTTCCCTACCCTCTGCTTTCTTCAGTTCTCGTGGGCGACACACTCCCGTGGGACACAAGTTCAGCAGGGAGCTGGCGAGGGGAAAGGCAGGTTTTGGGGATGAGGCAGATGAGGAGGGGACCAAAAGAGACTTTGTTGTTGGGAGTCCCTGGCATGGAGGGGTGGCGGCCTGTGCTGTTTGCCCGGGATGGCAATTAAAAGGCACATGGAACATCAGTGCATGGAGGTGTGATGAGGACTGCGTGGTGCTGGAGAGGTTTGGGGAGCACAGTCAGTAGTAGCCTGAGGGGTCCGTTTAAGAAAACTAAGAGACAGAAGTCTGTCCTGGACATGGGGACACTGGTCTCTTGGGGATGAAGATATTGAGGTCAGGGCAGGGCAGGGCCTGGCATATTGGGTGCCCAGAGCATCCTGGTCTCTTCTATTCCTGGAAAAATTAAGACAGACCCGCCCTAGCCGGTTTGGGTCAGTGGATAGAGTGTCGGCCTGAAGGGTCCCACGTTCGATTCTGGTCAAGGGCACATGCTGGGTTGTGGGCTCAATCCCCACTAGGGGGCGGGCAGGAGGTAGCGGATGGATGATTCTCTCTCAACATTGAAGTTTCTATCTCTCCTCTCCCTTCCTCTCTGAAATCAATTAAAAAAAAAAAAAAAAGACAGACCCAATTTTGTCTCAGTTCCAGGAAAAGCCTTACTCTGCCACTGACTTCCTGTGTGATCTTGTGCAAGTCCCCAGCCCTCTCTGGGCCTCCATTTCTCCTTTACATGGATGTGGAGGGCAGATGGCTCATCATGAGGACTCCACTGGGCTGTGGTTCTGGAACCTGCGCTCACTGTAAGGACCCTGTAGGGTTTCTGGGAGAGGACGGAACAGCTAGGCTGGGGTGGAGGGCAGGAACTGGGGAGCAGGAGTCGGGGATTGAAGGGATCCAGTTCTGGTGGGGAAGAGCCTGGCTGAGGTAGATTGTCACAGAAACAAAAACAAAACAACAACTGGAATGGGATGGTGCCCTTCTCCACTGAGACGCTCTGAAACAGAGGACTGGCAAGGACCAGATAAGGTGGAGGACAGGCTGGCGGAGAGGGACCTCAGGCCTGGAGGGATGGGCCCTGAGTTCCTGGGGGTGAGGGTGGGGGAGTCCTTAAGGGGCTAAGCTTTTTTCCTGAGGATGAGAAGCAGGAGGGGGTGCCTGCAGCCCTCTCTGAGGGCCATTTCTGCTGGTCAGATGTCTTGCAGGCAGAGGTTCAGAGGGAAGGTTTCGTGGGATTGAGATGAGGGGGGTGGGGATGGAATAAGGTCCAAAACTGTGGCCATGGCTTCCCCGAGAGCCTCAAGCCTTGCCTCCGCACTGCCAGATCGGTCTTATTCCCTCTTCGCTGGGTCTCTCATGGAGTCGTAAGGACTCCCAGCTCCTAGAGAGGTTTATTTTTTAAGTTTTCCTTTTAGGATGCTGGAGAATGGATGCCAGATGAGCCATTCTGGGACACTGGGGAGTAAAATAACTTGCCAAGGGTGACCCTCATGTCACATCTCTGAGCCTCAGTTTCCTCCTCTGTCAGATGGGTTGATAACACTTATTTTTTTAGGGAAATTGCAAGCCAGGGAAGGTTTAAGTGAAACAAGATGGGGTGAAAACTGGCACGGTCAGCCCTGGAGAAACAGTCAAGAGGATCTGGGTCCACATCCTCTGTGCGCCCCCCCGTCACAAAGGGCTCCGGCATGTGCGTACCTGGCCGTGAAATTCGGTCTCCAAAGACTGATTTGGGCCGATCAGAGGATGGGTGAATGAACCAGAGGGAGGCTAGGTCAGCTGCAGGCTTCCCCCACCACCTATCACCTTGAGGCCCGGTTCCTGAGCTTTCTCGGGGATTGGGGACGGAGAAGAAAGCGGGAAGAGCATTCTTCATGTGTTGGTGGGAGGAATGCACACACCATCTCGGCTGGTGTGCCAGGGGGTGAGGTGGCTTGTGTCACAGGTTTGATGTGTGCTTATGTGTGTGTGTTTATGTGGATGGTCCTGTCCTCTCTGCCTTTGGGGTCACCCTGCACCCCGAGTGTGGCCCTCTCCCTTCATCCTCAGCAAACTCACTATCACCCATCACTCTCTGATGGAACAGCAGGAGTCTGGGACTTGTGAGACTAGCTGCCACTCTGGGCCTCAGTTTCCCCTCTGTAATCCCAGGGAGGCTGAACCAGGGAGGGTTAAGTGCTCCTCTAATGTGCATAGTCCAGGCTTCTCACGGTCCACCTCACCCCCAGCCCAAGCCTGCATCTTGCCTTAACATCACCTGCTGCGTCCTGGCAGTAAACACACCTTAGTTTGCCTGGGGGAGTGGGGACATGGTGGGGGGTTCCAAGCTCTGCCTAGAGGCTTTGCCTCTCAGCCCACAGACTGCCTACTCCTACACTCACCACCCTACCCAGGACTGGCCATGCCAGGTGGAGAGGAGAGGCCCAGGACAAAGGATCTCGGGGGAACCATGGGATATCTGGGACATGGGAATAGACCTCAAGTCTCAGGGATTGGGCAAAACAAAGCAGTTTTCCAGCTGCTGCCCAAGAGAGCCACTTCTGCAGGGTGGCTGAGAGCCTAGATTTATGTCAAGTCCCTAGAGCTCATTTTTTTCTGGCTGGAAACCAGCTGGTAGTTGAAATGTACCAGGGGTTCCCGAGCACAATGTCCTCTTAGGAAGATGGCTCTGGACCAAGGTGGACAGGAGCACAGAACTCCTATGAACCCCAGAAGTCTAGAACCGGAGTATCTATTCCTACAATGTTCCACTCACCTGGGGTTCCAGAGGCCCCTCCTCCACCACCATGGCAGGAGCTAGAATTCCCCAGAGCACAGCAGCAGGCTCCAGCGCACTCACCCTCACCACAGAACCCAGATCAGTGACTCCCTAGGCTAGTTTATCAGCTAAGTGTTCTAGAACTTAATCCAGAACTAAGACTGCCTCTCTAGAACAGTTCCTCTGCTAAATGCGCTAGAACCTCGTCTATAAGTGAACCCAGACAGAATATCTTCCTAGACATTTTATCTGTTGCATTCAAAACCTTTTTCTACAAGAAATGTTTTAGACGCTCATCTAAAACAAAGAAAGACTCCTGGAAGCATTTCACTTGAGGTGTCTGGAACCTCAACCATAACACAGGGGTCTCTGGAGGAGTTTACATGGGGAACATTCTCAATGCTCTGGATCTGCTACCCTTCGCGTTTCAGCTCGCTTGAACCCCTCAGATGTCTCAGGGTTCTTCCTCCCCTCCAGCTCTAGCACTGTCTACCTCCCACCCCCAACTCCCCACCCCACCCCAACTTCCTCCCTTAAATCCTCTCTGGCCCAAGCTCCAAACCTTGGACCCCACAGGAACTGTACGCACCTTGTCCTCCAGATGCTCCCACCTCACTCCACATCTTCCATAGCCTCCTTCATCCCCAGCACCCCCTCAGGAGCACAGGGCCTCACTCATGGACCCCAGACAGTGCCCCTTCTCTGACAAGTCCACCAGGGGTGACGCGTGGGCAACTCCAGGCAGGGGAGAGGGTGTGGAGCCCCCAGCACCAGAGGTGGTATGGAGGCCTTCATGAAAGTGGGGCAGCTCATGAGGAGTGTAGCACCAGTTAATTCCCTGGGCCCTGGTTCGAGGGGGCGTGTTAGAAAATGGGCCACAGCGCTGAAAACAGGGCCTAGAGCTGGGGCCTCCACAAGACTGCCCCCTCCCCTGAAAGAACCCAATGGTGGAGCCACTCTACCCTTGGACCAACAGATCCACTTCCCCTTAGCCTGGTGGCCCTGAAATTCCAGGCTCAACACTGTGGTCGATGTGAGGTCAGCCAAGCCCATCCCCTTTTGGGGGGAGAAACTGTGGCCTACACTGTGGTCTCATACTCCAGCAGCTCCTGGGTGGTCCCAACGCTCCTGTACTGCAACCGGGGCGTGACGGGTGAGGAGTACTCCAGCGCCAGAATGGTCTTCCGGAGCCGGCGGTCAATAAAATGAGCATCCCATGCGGGGTACTTCTTACGAGGCAGGTCAATCCGAATGACAGGCCCCTCTGTCCGCAAGGTGCGGGCCACTGGTGTGGGAGGCAAGCCAGGCCGCACCTGGAAGACAGGTGGTGTGGGGGTCCCTGCACGCTCACCCCCCACTGAGACCCCATCTCGCTCAGCGCCTGTAGTCCTCGGCAGGGACCTTGGGGGACTTGTGACAGCATCGGCTGGCGGGCCACAGGGCTCTGGGGCCTCGGGGCAGATGCAGCCAGGTGCCTGGGGCCCCAGCATGGGCCCATTGGGGTGCAGGAGGCAGTAGTAGACACACATGAAGAATATGCCCAGCGCGAAGCTGGAGGCCACCACGCAGACCAGGATGAGCGAGTGGAAGTCAGTGGAGAAGTTGCGGCTTGAGTACCAGAAGCCAGTGAGCGCGGCGTTCTCCAGCAGGATGATGCAGTAGTAGAGGGCCATGCGGCGGCGGCTGCGGCCCTCCTTGACGTTGAACCAGCAGAAGATGTAGATGATGCCCACCACCATGTTGTAGATGATCTCTTCCCACTTGGACATGCAGAAGTCCGTCTCGCCTTGGATGACCCAGAAGGTCATGATGCACCAGTGGGCCACGATGAAGATGCCGAAGTAGAGCTTGTAGACGCTGGCAAAGAGCGCAAAGGCCAGGCTGCGGGCCGCGATGGTGAACAGGTGCCAGAGCACCTGGGCCACGGCACCTTTGTAGGACAGTGGCCGCTTGTCATCTCGGGAGTCCCGCAGCACCTTCTGGTAGGAGGCCAGAGTCCAGGCCAGGGACACGAGTGAGGCAGAGGTGGAGAGGGCTGTGGAGACAGGGTGGGGACGGGGTGGGCTGGGTTAGGGGTGGGTCTGGGTTGGGGTGGGTAAAGGGGAGGGTTCCGGGTCAGGAGCTGGGTTCTGAGGAGCTGTGAGGGAAGGGTCTATAACTCAGGCAGGGTGTGGGAGGGTCTTAGTGGGTGGTCTTCAAGAGTGATGATGGGGAGGATGGATAGAGCTGGGTACTTCTTCTGGGTGGGAGCATGAAGGGAGAGGGAAGGTGGGTGATTTGGGTCTCCATAAGGGTTAGGTCTAGGTCTCTAGTATCAGACTGTTAGGGTTCGGGGGCTGGTGGGAAGGTGGGAAAGTGGGAAATTAGTCTAGGGCTCTGGGAATGGAAAAGGAGGTAAAGCGTTGGGAGGGGGGTCACAGTGAGGGCACGGAGGAACCAGGAGAGGACTATTAGAAGCTGTAGGTCACCACGATGAGACTAGGGTGTGAAGGGGGATATCCAAGCTGAGCCCAGCTGAGGGACGGAAAGAAAATCTACCGTGGGAGAGTTTGATGGGGCCCAGTATCCTGAGCAAGGAAGGAATATCCCCGGGGCCTGAGAGGCGGGGATAGTCTTTCAGGACATTAAGGGTGGGCTGGGCAGAGTCTTGGTGGGAGGAGCATGGGGAGCTCCAGGGGGCGGGGGGCGGGGGATGTGGCTTTTCTCTGACGTGAAAGGGGGTCTGGTCTGTTGGAGTTAGGGAAGGGGCCAGGAGGAGTTGAGTGCATAGGACCAGGGTGCTGAAGAGCAGTGAGAGGGCGGGTGGATAGGCTCTCTGGAAACTGGTGATTGGGCAGGTCTGTGAGTCAGGGGGTCCCGGGGGGGGGGGGGGCACGCTGGGATCAGGACAGTTCGGAGAATGAAGGGGGTGGGGAGGGCCTGAGGTGCGGTGAGGGGGTCAAGGGCCTCTTTGGACTTGGCAGCATCGGGGTCTGGTCTGCCCTGACAATGGGGAAGGGAGGAGGGGCCGAATGGAGGACAACCCAGGGGGCTTGAGAGGAGGCTCAGAGGTGAGGGGCCAGGTCTCTAACGCTGAGGGTGAGTGGGCTATTGGAGGGGACATGGAGGTCTTCACAGGCCTGGAGGGTGGTGAGAGTAGAAGGGGCTAGGCCTGCAAAACCTTGACAGTGCGTGGGGAGGGGGCCTGAAGCAGGAAGAGCTGACACGCCGGGCAGCCAGAATACTGAGGAGGAGGGAGCCCGGGTTGGGGTGGGCCGGGACGCAGGGCATCCCCAGAGCCCGGAGCGGGAGGGCCGAGGGGCGGGGCTCACCGGGCAGCAGGTCCGGGCGGCCGCCGCGGTGCACCAGGAGGCTGAGCTGCAGCACGAGCTGCGGCGCGCTGCGCAGGAAGGTCTCCAGCAGGCGCAGCATGCTCACGTCCGCGCTCTCGAACAGCATCCGCCAGTAGAAGTGGCGCCGGAGCCGCTCCCCGCGCCAGCGGCTCTGCAGCCCCAGGTACACGGTGCGCAGGTACCTGCCGGAGGGACGCGGTGCTGAGGCGCCCACTCCGAACCCGACCCTTGCCACACCGAGCCTCCTACCCCAAATGCTAAACGGCCGTTTTGAAAGGACCCACTCCCGGGGCTGAGGTCGGGGAGCTCCTGCTGGGCGCTTCAGCTTCAAGCAGTGACACAAAGGAAAGGCTTCATCCAGCATGCTCATCATCATTCCTGCTCTGGCACATTGGGCCCTGCTTCCTCACCGGGTTCCTGACTCCCTACAGTGCCCTGAGCTTACAACAGCCCCGCTATTACCCCCATTTTATAGATGAGAAAACTGAGACCCAGAGAGCTATGCCATTGGTCCAAGGTCACACAGCTAGGAAGCAGTGGAACCAGCATTCACACCCAGGCAGCCTGGCCTCAGGGCTCACCTTCTGACATTAAGCAGCTCTGCCTCTCCCCGTATGCTATTAAGAGTTTGTCTACTCAGGAGCAGTTCCTGGAGCCAGCCCCCAGTTCTGTGGCCACCAGCAGCTTTCTGGCGTGTTCCCAAGCCCACCCCTGAGTGCCCAGTTCTCCCCACAGGGCACGGGAGGCTGCTTAGAGATCCTCTGGCATTTGAGACTTTGCTGCTTCTTCTCACGTCACTTCTCCCAACAAACGTCCTGCCTCCAGCTACTCTGCACAGGCCACAGATTCCAGCTCATAATCCTCCTCCTCACTGGGCTTTGGCAACTGCTGTTTCCTCTGCCTGGTAGTACCCCCGCTCCAGCCCCCAACCGGGATAACTCTTGCTTTTCCCCCAAGGCTCAGCTTATCAACATGATTTCTTCCAGGAATCAATCCTCCACTGACCACTCTCCACTTGGAGTAGGGGCCTCCCCCAGGCTTTCCTCCAACCGAGCACTTTTCACAGTGGGTTTAACTGTCTGCTTATGCATCTGCCTCCCCACACTGTGACCTGTGTGAGAACGATTAGGTTGGCTTGCTAACTGCTGTATCTCCAATTCTTAGCACGTAGATGCTCAACCTGTGTGTTGCCTGAATGAATAAATGAATGAATGTGGGAATGATTGAAAGTTTGTTGAACTGAATGGAACTCTGGTAACCCAGTAGGAGCATGGAGGGAACCCCAAAGTCCTGAGACCAATTCCTCACTTTGTTGTGTAATCTTGAGCAAGAAGACCCTCTCTGAGTCCTGCCTGTGAGCGTTAAATGAGTGAGATCATTTGCAACGATGAACTGCAGTGCCCACTGGGTGACAAGGGACCTCTCCACACAGATCTCTGGATCTGATTTCTCCTCTCTGTCCTGGTGCCTTGTCCAGCAGCTCCACCCCTGGCTGTTGCAGCCATAGACACTGGCCCTCCAACCTCCAAATTCTCTGATTCATCCCCTTTGCTGAAACCAGAGAGGGCTCCTTTAGAAGTGATCTCCCCAGAAACCAGGGGGGAAAAACTCACCATATTCAATGACCCTATTGCCTCCATCAGAAACTGGGGAACCGGAGATTTCCCAGAAACAGAGTGCTGGTATTTTCAGAATGTTGTTTAGAGGCCAACAGTATTCAACTGTGTACAGCCAACCCATGGGAGGAACCACAGTGCTCCCTGAAATTTGGGATCAACTGATAGACCCAGAGTTTCCCCATGAGTTCCCTGGTCTTAGCAATCAGACCTCTCTGGGCCTCAGTTTCTCCAACAAGGATGGGTTTGATGACTGTAGATCCTTTCAGAGCTAATGTTCTTGGATCTGAACTCTCCCCTGAAAATGTGGCTGGAAACATCCGATTTAGGGCTCTCCATCCCATTCCCGCTCCCTCAGTCTAACTCGCCTGCCCAACGCTGAAATCCCCTTAGCAAGTCTTGGCCCCATGCTTTCCACCCTCTGCTCATACACTTTCGTGGTAGGGAGTCCCTATTCCTGAGGCGGGGCCTTCTGCTTCTGAGCAGCTCCAGACGGATTGTGTTTCTTTGATGAGCAGAAATTTGTCTCCCTGTATCTTTCGTTCCCTGGCCTCTACCTACCCCCTCACATAAGGATCCCTGCAGCCAGAATCATTCATTCACACACATGTGGATTCTGACCCCTTGCTATGTGCCATGTCCTGTGCCATTAAGTGTCTCTCACTCCCATGGGAGAGAGACATGGTAAGAGCTGAAATAGATGCTCTAAGATGTGGTGGAACCCAGAGAAGAGATGGGTACCTTTGGCTAAAGGGTTAAAGGGGGTCAGGGAAGACTTCCTGGAGGAAGAAAGAGTTGACCTCAGTTTTAAAGCATGGGCAGGTGTTTTAAGGCACACAGGGGGTGGCAGGGCATTCTATTTTTTTAAATATATTTTTATTGATTTCAGAGAGGAAGGGACAGGGAGAAAGAGATAGAAAAATCAATGATGAGAGAATTATTGATCGGTTTCCTCCTGCATGCTCCCTACTGGGGATGGAGCTGGCAACCCAGGCATATGCCCTTGATAGGAATGGAAGCCAGGACCCTTCAGTCTGCAGGCTGACTCTCTATCCACTGAGCCAAACCGGCGAGGGCAATGGAAGGGCATTCGAGGTGGAATAATCAGTTGAACAAAGGCATAGAGGCATGAGAGAACATAGCCTTTTGGGGCACTGGCCAGTCGTTTGTCAGGAAGGAGGCTTTTTGGACAGGGGCATAAGAGAACTAGAACTGCGAAGGGCATCAAATTCTGGACTGAAGAGTTCATATTTTATCCTAAATTTGAATTCTATCCCAGAATCAGGGGTGATGTGATGAGCTCAGTGGCTTAGAAAGCTTGCTCTGGAGGCTGGTTTGGAGGAAAGCCAGGAGAGGCTGGGGTTTGGTCCAGGCCTGAAATGACAGGGCTGAGCTGAGGCAGGGCACAGAGGAGGGGCAGAGAACAGAGCTCTCTGAGACAGCCAGGGGTGTGTGGGGGGTCCTAGGGGAGAGACCAAGTTGGCCCCCAGAGCTTCTGAGGGCCCAGAACACAGACCACCTTTCTCAGCCCCCATCTCTTCCTGACCCCATTCCCTTCCCCATTCCCACGGCTCTGGCTTTGAATAGGAAGGAGAGACCAGCTGGTCCAACATGAAAGGGCCTGGGGAGTTGGGGGAGGGCGACACCCTGGAAGTTTCTCTCAGGCTGCAAGACCATCTGTTTCCTGGCCCTGGTCAGCATGAGGGAGGCCCCAGCCCAGCCAGCATCCATCACCACCTGACAGGCTGCCTGCCCACCTCCCCGCCCACTCCTGCCAGCTCCCAACACCCCACACCCCAGCTAACCACAGACAAAGGGCTCCCTCAGCCCCGGGCCACAGTGGGCCAGAGCAGGGAAGGGGTAGGGGAAGAAAGAAGGCCTGAGACCCCAAAACATGGGGTCAGCAGGGGGTGTAGAAAGATCGTGTCATAGTGGGGGGATGAAAGGGCCTAGGTTCAGCAATACTCTGCCTGCTTTGGCTACAGAACCAAGATCTGTGGCTGTTCCTGCCAGCCCCACTACATGCTCACTGCCAGGGGCCTGCAAGGTTTTTATGGGCCTAGGAAAATGTTTGAGGCTGGGGGGTGGTGGGGGGGGGGGTGGCGGGGGGCGTGAGGTTGGCTCTAAAACACAGGGAAAAACTGCAGAATCAAAATTAATAAATGTTTAATTAAATGCCTGCAAAACAGAACATGATATCAGCCAGTCAACTGCAATTTGGCTTTTATCTATCTGGTTGTATGTAATTTGCACTTGATGTTTGCTATAGCTGCATTTTAATATGCTTCATAGAACTCTTCAGCCCACAAAGGTCTTAAAACAGCCTTGCCCAGGACAAGCATCCTAATTCCCCCGAACCTCAGTTTCACTTTCTCTAAAAAGGGGTCAGCACTCACCCTCCTTGCCTACATCACAGCTCCTGCGGTGAGAATGAGAAAGGCAAGATGGCAAGATGCTGAGTGTGAGGGTTTGCTGCCCAGCCCTGCCCTGGATGCTCTGTGGCCTCGGGCACTCTCTGCCTCTCGGAGCCTCGTTTTCATCCTTGTTGTGAGCATTTGGGAACTGCAGAGGGATGTGCACATAAGGGGGAGTGGATGCTAGCTAGGTGGAGGCCTCTGGCTCCTCCTTCACCGAGCAGCCGCTCTTAAAACCTCCCCCAGGAAGCCTATTCTACTCCATTTGAAAGGAAGTTGGAAGAGATTCATCTTCACCACAAACGGGACTGATGCCACCCACAGAGAAGGATGCTCCATCTCAGGAAAAGGAGCCCAGCCTCCGGGGAATGTATCTGCTCTCCCCGAAAACGCATCCCGAGTCCTTCCATCCATCCTCTCAACTGCCTCCGCCCTGGTCCAGGCCCCCTTCGCTTTTGCCTTCTCGGTGGGCTCCCTACAGCCACATGGCAACCAGCAGGGTATTTTGAAAACCTGTCAGATTAAGTCTCCTTCCCCTTCTCAAAACCTTTAAGGGCCGCCCATCACACCGGGAACAAAAATCCAAGCTCCTCCCTTGGTTTGCAGGGCCAGACCAGTGATGGCGAACCTTTTGAGCTCGGCGTGTCAGCATTTTGAAAAACCCTAACTTAACTCTGGTGCTGTGTCACATATAGAAATTTTTTGATATTTGCAACTATAGTAATACAAAGATTTATATTTTTGATATTTATTTTATATATTTAAATGCATTTGACAAAGAAAAATCAACCAAAAAAATGAGTTCGCGTATCACCTCTGACACGCGTGTCATAGGTTCGCCATCACTGCCCTAGACCATCTGGCCCTGCCTATTTCTCTCTTCTCCTCGCAAACCACTGTTCCATTTGTTCTCAGCCTTCCAGATACCCCCAGGCGTCCTCAAACCCAGCCAAACTCGTTCCTGACTCAGGGCCTTTGCACCTGCTACTTGCTCTACCTGGAACACCCCCTCCACACACCCTCCTGTGGTGGCTCATTCTCAGCTCATTCTCAGAGGCCTCCCAGGTCCCCTCCCCTGTCAGCCCCTCTGCTCTCACCAAGTCACTCTGGTCTATCACATTGCCCTCTCTTATTTTCATAACACACACTATG